CAGCGATTATTGTGTAATTTATTTTGTGGAATTTGTTTATATGGACACGCAAAGTAAAATAAAGCAGCTGCAGTAAAATTAAATTAAAGCACACATAATATATAGATAGAGGGCTCTTCGAGGATTCTGGGATAACTTTGCATTTTAATTGAGTTTGCATTTTTTTAAAACGGTTCACAGTAAACAAATTTTATAGCAAGCTTTTTTTCAATTGAGGATGTGCATATCCTGGGGAAAGAATTATCGAAAAGAAAAAAAAAAGAAAATTCTGTAACTAAATCAATTTCAAATTTCGAATAATTGAACATGTTGCGATATCTATCAAGCTTGAGACACTGCTATATAATTATCGTATACTTAGATACGCTAGATAAGTTATTGCTCTACTTATACTCTTTTGCAAATCTCGTTAAAGGGAGAAAAGTTGTGCGATTCTATGAAAAAATTTCAATTCAACGGAATTTCATGTCAACGGAAAACAAGAAGACAAGATACGCTTTGAATATGCTGCTTGTAGTGACAAATGTGTAGTAAGTAAAGCGAACAAGTGTGAATCTTGAATGTCGTTAAGGGCAAGTAGTTAGTTACGAACAAAAAGAGAACAAGATCAGAAAAAGTTTGTGGCCAACGTTTCTCTGCAGATTCAAAGCAATTCCCTCGATTGGCCTCCACCTATAAATTCTCTTTCCAATTTCACCTAAGCTATTCCTAAGAGGTGATGACAATAAGTGATTCGCGGTAACGTATGCTTTGAATGAAAGACTCATTAACGAAACAGACGTAGGCCTGATCTAGGTCTAGGTAAGTTTTCAAAGGAAGCCATTAATTTTTCAAGGAAAAACCTGCAATACATGCATACAATTGTTGTTGGAAAATTGTACGCATGTACTCAAGGTTCTCCCTTGAAATATAAATTTCATCCTCACTAAACAACAACTCACTAAAACTACTCAAAGCAAGTTTTTTTTTTTTTGCTCTATTTGAAGAATTCAAAAGAGTTTGTTTAACAAGGACCAGAGAAATTAATAAGCTTGACTAGGGATACACTTACGATCGTAAACTTTCCGAATACTCTCATTATAAGAGATAAGGCACAAGGGTATATACAAATTAGGGAAACACTGAATTGAGGAACGAACGGCCCACCTATGTAATATGTAGCATAGAAATCTGATATATAGGACATTTTGTTATGCAAAAGCATGTAAGTGATAAGGGATGGAAAAAAAATTCCTGTATAGCACTGTTCTGTCAAATGTTGTGCTAGATGAAGAGCATTCGAGAATAGCAAATTTTTTTTCTTTATTATAGAACGATCCTAACCGTAATAGATCATGGATAGATTCAAGCGCACCACCCGCATTGATCGCAAGCCTGAATCATTTTAAAAGCAAGATTATATTTTTTGTTTGATGTGATGAAGAAGAATGTGCTTCATTACGAGCTATTAAAGCCTCGTCCAACGTGAAATCAAATCAAATCTTACTAACCATTTGCTACACAGAAATCGCATAAAAGCATTAAAGAATGCAAAGCATATCAATCAATTCAGATATATAGGGCAAAACTAGTTTGTTGTATGTCGGACTGGGAAATGCTGGCGCATACGGCTTTAGTGACAACAGTCGATTAGCACTTTCTTACATGGATGACGCAAGCACTCGCTTAGCAGCGTTTTGGCTTGCGTCTGGTTCACAGCAAAGGCGAAGAGTTTCACTGAAAGGAAAATATGCAACTAGCGATGGAGTGCACATTGATTAAATCTCTTTCTATCATTCTTTGCAATTGAACGCTGCTTTGATATCCATATTAAGTTATTGCGGACGTATGTAACACGTAGAAGAGCTTAAGATAGATCCAGCTTTTGTTATACCGATCGATTCAGAATCATAATCTGCATTGAACTAAGCCTGTCTGTCCGTCTTGCCGTTTGAGATCGCATGTCGAATCTATTAAAAATGAAAATAAAGGCGAAAATAAAAATTTTGAAGTGAATTCGCCAATTCAAAGTGATCCGTAAACCTTATGACATCGTTGACTTTAAACTCCGAGTTGTCAAAATATCATTAAAAAATTTTGCTTTTGATGTGAAACTAAGTAAAACTTTGTGATAGATTGAGATTAAATGATGTCGAAACAGAAATTGCTAGTAACTGAGAAACAAAAGTTTGTGAAATTATATCACAAATGAAATAAAACAATGAGAACTAGAAAAAATAAATAAAAAAAAAAAAAAAAAAAAAATAAAAATGACGCAAAAACTTATTAATAAAAGTATGTCTTCTACGCACTAAATTGATTGATTTTTTGCTTTTGAACTCACCTCACTTGTGTGTATGTTTGTTTGTTTTTTTTTTTTTTTTCTTTGGCTCTTAGTAAAGCTTTTCTTTTTGCTTTAGTTGTCTGATGGAAACTCATTTCTACTTGTTTATTTAGGGGGCATGAGAAATTGAAGTACAGATCTGACGATTACGATTGAAGCTTTACCGTATCTCATGTGTAGGCACCTATATATTTTGTTTTTTTTGGTTAGCATCACTAGAGAGATTTTTTTTAATCCTTCCTTTTCCTTTTCCTTTCGTTTTTTTTTTTTTTTTTTTTTTTTTTGTTTGCTTGTGTTATGAAAAATTTGTAACTTACATACATTCTAAAAAAAAAATTTATGCTAATGACGACATTTGCGAATGAAAAAATTTTGATATTGTATACAATTCTATAGAAAATATATTTAAATGCACATATATTTTTACGCATGTTTGTTTTTGTTTTTCATTAATTAATTACCAATTCAGTTAATTGTTGTGAGAGAGCGTGCTGTATATCACTGATATTATAATAAAAATAAAAAGAATGCAGGGGGGCAAGTAAAAGAAAGACGGAAACATAAACATCGAGTATTAGAGTAATTGGAGGAATTTTCAAATCATGAAAAACAAAAATAAATTAACAAAAATTAAATGAACATAATTATTCAGCTGAAAGAAACTACAAATAAATAAAATACGCAAAAGCTTTGGAGCAACAACTAATGAATACTTTTCAAGTACGAATATTGTTTTTTTTTTTTTTTTTGTTTTAAAAATACCTCTAACATAATAGGGTGGGGGGTTCAGGTTTGTGCACAAATTTTATCTACTCAGGTGAAATGTCAAGTTTCGCATGACATAATATAAGTGTATAGCAGGAGAACCAAAATGAACTGACAATGATGTCCGATCATAGTAAGGCGACTCTGACCAAATCTCTCACTTAGTGTAAAAAAAAAAAACTGCAAAATCCTTCTATTAATCTATTCTCTTAGCAAGGTCATAAGGACGAATTGGACTTGGTTGGGCTTTTCTTGGTTAAATGGATGAGCAGCTTAAGGGTAAAATTTATAACAAACTGCCCCACGAATTCAAATAAAAAATGCTCAGATCATTATTATCATTGGGACAATGTTTGAGCATCATTTAGACGGATAGATTTTGTTAAAATAAATTACTTGTGTTTGAGTGTAGGTATAATAAACTAAAGTGGTTTGTGTGAACAACAGTAAGAGTCATGTGCTGAAAAACGGGACATTTGACTCAACTTCTATATTTCCAACAGATTTTTATTTGTTGAATTCTTGAAACGGACAGGACTGCTTGTCATTAGGAAAAAAAACTTAATTTTCTTCATCATCCTGATCAAAAATTGGACAATGCAACGAGCGAATTTTTTTTAAAATTCATATAAACATTTTAGTAGTAGTAGTAGTAGAAAAAAATGTTAATTTTTTTCATTTTTCTGGTCCCAAATCGGAGAAAGCATCACATTCATCGGAACTGTTCGCAGGTGAATTTTTTTTTTTTTTTAAATCAAATTATCATTTTAATGAAAATGATGAGTATATGTGTCCCAAAAAATGCATTAGGATGCTTTCAGAAAAGTGATTAGCTATTGTGTTTCAGTAATTAAGAACTCGAGTCCTTTTAACTGTTGGATAAAAATATACTGCAAGAAACTGCTAGAAAATGAAATAAAAATAATTTTAATCTTAATTAAAGAGTTGTGAAAATATTCAGCTCATTTTGGCGCACCTTAGGTGTTTTCCTTTTTTTTCTTTTCTTTTCTTTTTTTTTACTCTTCTTTAATTCTAAATTTCCATGCTTGACCAAAAATTACTTAACGGAAATAAAAAACTAACTAAAACTGCAGCTGTTTTTTGCTTTTTTTAATTCTTTAAAAAATATTTGTTTTTGTTTAGTGTACATGGAGATAACAGCGGGAACGAGAATAAATACAATGACAATTCTTGATGGTAAATGTAAAGAGTGATATAGTACAGAATAGTAGGAAAAGAAAGAAGAGTACTAAAGAAGTTGGCTGCAGTAGTAGTAGTAGTAGTAGTAGTAGTAGTAGAGTATTTAGTGAACGCTGTTTGTAGAGTAGAAAGTAGAAGTAACGTTGCAATTTTCATTTTCTTAATCATTTAATGCAGGCCATACAACACGTAGGGTCTAAAGAAATAATAGCAATTTTTGCTCTTAGTTTTTATATTATCGACATAAAAGAAAAAAAAAAAAATTAAGAAATAAAAACTGTGAAAAATGTCAATTTATAATAATTGTATGGAAACTGTATCGAATAGAAATAATAAATGGGAAATTCTAAGACCTAAGATGATATCTAAATTATACGATGGATGAAATTATTATTATTATTAATTTTTTTTTTTTTTTTTCGTATTTAGTGATTGATAAAAAGATTCGTTTGAAAAGAAAAATAATATGAAAAAAGAGAAAACAATAAATAAAAAATAAAAATAAAAACAATATTCAACTAATATAAACTATATTATAATATTATATATTAATATGACCATAAACAAAAAGATAAAATCATCCAATTCAAAAATTTTGTCGAAAATAACATGAAACTAAATAATAAAAACCAATATGTGCTTGTTTTTATTCAAATAGGACGAATAAAATAAAGTCTAAAGATATCTTAAATATATTAAAGAAATGACTTACCATCACTCAAAACTACCTCAGGTTGACTTGGTATAGGAGCTTGTTGGGTTTCTATCCTCATGACATGATGTTCTAAAATTAATTAAAAAAAAACAAAAAACCGGTGAAACTATTATAGCCGAGCAAGGTCGGTTATTGCATACCCTACACCTAACACAATTCTTCATTTATTCGCATTGTAAAATACCAAAAATTATATGTTTTTTGCCATATAAAGTCTTACTTTCCTGCCCCTAGTGGTGTCCACAAAAAAGAATTAACGTTAATCTCTTGCGTCAAGCTATAATTGGAGATCAACATTTATCATAATTTATTAACAATTAGACCCATTTACTATATAAAGCTTGTCTTTCCTTCACAGGAGCGATTATATAAGAAACTAAACGAACACTACAAAGTTGAACAGGCGGACATATGGACAGCAGACCGGGCGGATATGCTTAAGGGTATTCCGAATTTGGCACTGGTCAAGGATGTTTGTATACTTTATGAAGTTTTGTAGCTTACTTCGGAGCGTTATAGAGGGCTTGTGGCGAAAGAAAAATGAAATTTTGATACCCTACAATATTCGATAGGTGTGGCCGAGTTTTCCATTTTCTACAGATGCCACAGCACATCCAAATTGTTATAGTCTTGCCTGTTGTAACTTGTGAGCAATGAGTGAAAAACCAATTTTTGTGCCCTTTAGAAAACGGAGGTGTTTTTAATTCTCTCTGTCTCTGCATGCCTTTCTAGCAATTTGGCCCGTTTTCAACACCAACTTGCGTGTAAGAATTTCCAATGTTTCTGCAACACGCTTCAATCGATTCACAATTTGATGCCCATCAAAGATATATATTTTTATCGAGCTTTTGCAGCTTTTTTCTGCATGTTGCGTTTTAACAAAATGCACCAACGATTATGTTTCGAGATGAAACAATATGTCAAAGTACGACAAAATACCTGAGGGTACCACATTTTATCAAAGTATCTTCAAAATCGCAAACCATAAGCTAGCACAGATAGGCATAAAAGATATCTAAAAGCCAATCAGACGGACGGATATACAAAAACGATTCAAAACATAATTTTGAATTGATCAATATAAATAGGAGTTGGGTTTGTCTTAAGTCCCTCTGGGCCTTGCATATATTCCCACAAACTTAACATATCCTTGCCATACGGCAAGCAATGTATAAGAAGGAGTGTCTTTAAAAGGATAAGACCGGACGTATATACTCCTGCAGCGGTTGACCTTAAATAAATTTCTGTGATCATTAGAAGCTTTTTCCAAATCCCGTTCTAAGTTTTTCTATCTTATCCATGTTCTTGTTTTATTCGTTTTTGGATAGCTGGCAATATAGTTGTCACCAACATTATTTTTTGAGTAGGACAACAAATGCTGAAACACTATTTCCTGACATTGTGTGGATCCCTCAGAACATTACATTATAATATCACCCTTTAGCACTTAGTTAGTCCTGTTAACATGGCCAGTAAATAGAGAGCTTGATTTTTAATATACCTGAAACATCTTCTGGCTCTGATTGACTAACAGCGGCAGTTGTTGTTGTTGTGGTGGTGGTAGTTTCTTTAATATGTTGTTGTGCGCCTGAAGTTTGCTGTGAACTTAGAGCCTCAGATTCTGAAAAATCTGTATCAGTATCTAAAATGTTGCATATATTTTCGTATTAATTATTGATTGTTCATTGAAATGCCTACAAATTTCAACTCACATTCACCATGAATACTTTTCTTTTTACGTTCAACAGTCCGTTTATATTCGTTCAATTCATCGTCTGTTACATTATCAAAAGGATTCTTGGCGTATGGTGCCTTATAAACGGTAGCGTTATGCTGATAGCCGCGTTGTATTATACCCTTAGAAGCAGCACCTACCAACACTACATGATCACCGGCCGAACTAACGGTAGCATCCTTAATACGATTGGCCTCATCCCAAGTAACGCCCTCCAGTATATGTGATTGAGGACCAGCCGATATTTTATCAGCACGTCGATTCTCTTTGATCTGCAAAACAAATGACAAACAACATTCAAAAGTTAATGGACGACATACAACTATATATATTATTGAATACCTGTTGTTGAACTCTCTTAAATTCCTTGGGATTTGTGTTAGGAGGCACAAATTGCAAAGGATCCTCAATACGTACGGGTGTTGAATGTGTGGGAGAACCTTCTGCTACCCACTAATATATGTTCACATGAATCATATATAGGTATATATATATATATATATATATATTTATTTTTTTTTGGTTTTTAGTTTCACAATTACCAACACACATATTATATTTGTAGATATTGATAATGAATTAAATAGAAAGAGAAAGAAAATTTATGAATTTTATTAGAGAAATTTTCAATAAAAAAAAAAAAAATTGATTGATAGATTGATTACTTAATAAAATTTTTCCCTGAGAGCTCATCTGGTGTCATATATATATATATATATATATGTATATATATGATTTGCCTTGATCTAGCGATATTTCCCAATTTTCACATAGAACGCACAGCTAGAATAGCTAGATAAGTAAACCTAAATCGAAATGAATTTTGGAATGTCTTCGTAAAGAGCAACAAAAAAATGTTTTTGTATGCTATTGTCAAGTGAGAAAAAACAGCACCCTTGTGTTCTAGGTTTAAGTGCAAATTTACCGGATACCGGCCATCACCCATTTAGAGACAACAAAAAATACCAATTTATTCCTGTTATTCGGGTATTATTTAATTGATGGATTTTTGCAATAATTTTTAGATCGCCATAGTATTTTTAGTAAAATTCAAGTCATTTTTTAATGTCACTTTCGATTTGACAGCAGAGCGTTTTTCAAAATAGATGTCCTAAGGTAAAGTGATGGTAATGGATTCTACTATTTAGCTCAATTGTTAGGTCTAGCAGGGCCACCAGCCAGCTGCCACAGTTAAACAAACAGGTTATTAACAATCGCGTAGGACTCCTACGATCCTTTTTTTTTCTAGAAAACTGTTTCTAAAATCTATTTGAAATTCTAAAAAGAGCAAGAACAAAAGAAGAAAGAAAAATTTGTTAAAAATTGAAATAAGAAAACTTCCAGCAAGAGCAAGAACAAAAGTTTGAAAAATCTAGAAAGAAATTTGTTAAAAATTTGAAATAAACCGAAAAAGTTCTATTGAAATCAAAAAAAAAAATTGAAATCTCTTGTATTTTTATAAGAAACTTTCGTAAGTTTTTTGGTATTATAAGCGGGGGAACTTTTCAAATTCTTTTACTTTACTTTTTTTCATGAAGATGTACCTCTCTATCTGGACCCCTTTTACATTAGAGGAATTGGGAAAGGATCAATTTACTGCAAAATAATGATTTCCCAAAAATGTTTTATCGTTGTATGAAATGGTTTCTAATAATCTAAAAAATTACTTCTCGATAAGTCTATAAATTATTTTAGTTAGTGTTTATAGTGTTTTAAAGTAATTAAAGAGCGACAATATTAGTAAAAATTATGTTTCATTGTTATCTTGTTATTATTTGTTTGTTTGTTTTTTTTTTATGTATATTATTCATGGTAAAAGTGAAATAAAATCAAAATCGAAGAATAAAAATAATAAAAGGAAACGACCATAACTTTGTGCCTATACAAAAATGAATATTTCAACGTACAATTTATGGTTTACATTTGAATAAAAAAATAAAAAAAATAAAAAAAAAATTCAATTGACAAATAAATTTCTATATATTTCAATTGAAGTAAAATTTAATTAAATATGCATTTTACGGGTATAAAAATTTCTTTCCAAGCGGAAAGATGCAAATGAATTGTTAAAATGAAAAACAAAAAACAAAAAAAAAAAAAAAAATACAAAAAAAGTAACTAAATATTGTCGCTTTGATTCTCAAAGAAAAATTTTTTTTTTAACATAAATTTTCTTTCTCATTGTTTTTTAATGATTCAATCTTTCATGCTTTCCTCATTCCTATTACTTTTCTCTTCCCAACAGGCACAAAATTATTTTGAAGTTTTCATTTTATATATAACATGAAGCTTAAGTAAAGTATAAAATAAAATTTTGGTTTTAATTTGATTTTGTTTCACTTTATTTTTCAGGGTTAATTATATTAATATCAGCTGAGAAATAGTAGTAATATGTATTTATATATTTAATTATGTGTAGGGGGGATGATACACAAAATGCGGCTTGTTTTGTTTACTTTCTTCTTTTTATAATTATTTGAATTGAAATCCAATAAATTTTTTGTTTATATAAGCAAGTGTTAACTATATATATATATATGTATATATATATGTATATATATATATATGATATATCCTATATATGGATGAGCGGAATGTTTTTGCTTTTGTTATTATTATTATTACTATTATTATAAAAGTTTAATAAACAACTATAGTAATGTCTTTGTGTGCGCTAAATGGCAAAAAAAAAAAAACTTCCAAGCATACAAAATTCATGTTTTACTAACTAAACTGTTTTAATATAAAAAAGACGGTAGACAAACCCCGTTATGTGGCTAAAAATTGTTAACTTCAGCTTGAAAAATGGCATCATGTTTAACTAACGCTTTAGTGTCCATCTCAAAAAAAAAAAAAAATAAAAAAAATATTTACGTTCTGTGTATTACTGGTGGTTGGGTGCTTTTTAACAGAGCAAAGGACTAGTAAGGAAATTTACTAAACTTGTGCGTTATGTCTCCTAACTCCGTTTGTTTCTGTTTCTGCTTAGTTTTAAAATATATATATATATATTATTTATGCTTTAAGCTTCAATTTGATTATCGCTTTTTTGCTGTTGTTCTGGTTTATCTTCAAATGTTATAATCTCTACCTTAGTAATCTTCTTGGGGTCGGGAGTGCCTGTCTCCAAGACCTCCACTTTTTGATAGACATTCGGCGAATTTAGCCAACGACTGCGATCGCCGCCTTTACGTAAATCACCCTTCTTCCAAATGCTGGAACATAAATATATTTTCATTAAATTAAAGAGATTCTGCTATTGTTGCTAGTGTTAGTAAAGTTTACCCTTGTCGAAAAAGTTCCTCTTCCTCTAACAGATAACCTAAGGATGATACCGCCGGTGGTAATTCAACATCACTTTTGGGCTTAGGCGGTTCACTTTTGACCAATGGATGGCGATATATGTAACCAGTGCGAAAACCAGCATTGTCTAGCATACGCATTAAAGCCTCAAATTCGGCACCACCCACACGCCATTTCGGAGACACTGAGGTTTTAGTAATCGTGACAATATTGCCTCCACCTTCCTTCTCCGCTGTTTCATCGTCAACGGTTTTAGTTGTTTCACTAACTGTGGCAGTGGCAGCAAATTTCTTTTCTAAATCCTCGGGCGGACGACGAGAGTGTTCATAAATAACTTTACGTGATTCTTCGGGAATCAAGACTAAATTATCTAAACCAATAGGCAGCAGTTTTAATTGAGTTTCACAAGCCTGGACTATATGACAGGCAGCGAAGAATGCTTCTTCAATGGTTTCACCACAACATAAGGCACCATAATTGGTCAACAGCATGACCTTTGAGTTGGGACCCAAATTGCGGACCAATCTATTGCGTTCTTCCTCATCGTAAAGAGAACCGGTATAAGAAAACGTTGTTACTTCACCTAATACGCAAGCGTCCTTAGTTAAAGGCAGTAGACCAGCTTTAATGGATGAGATAGCTACAACAGGACTGCAGCCAATATAAATAGCACAACGTATGTCCGGTCGGGCAGCATGCACCACTGAGTGGAGGACGAATTCTTTTATAGAGAATAATATGAATAATCAATATATGAGTGATGGATAATATATCGGCATAATTTTAGAATAAGAAATGGAAAACTTACGACTTTTATTGACACCAAAATTGGTAGTGCCTTGTTCCACAATATGACCTTGCATATCAACTTTATTCAAGGCCGAGGCAGTTATCTCATGATAGAGCAAGCCATAAGGATTGACCAGAAAATATTCCTGATCGACTTTAAGGCGTGCTGTGATCTGAGCACCTAAACCCTGCGTCCATCCGTATAAATCCAAAAGGCGAAAAGTCGCAGCCAATTTGCAACGCAATATCTTTTCTCCTTTAGCATAGCCCATAGATTCAACGCCCCGTATATCGTTTATGGGCATCATGCAGCTGGATGCTTTAAACATGCTGCCCACACGCGATACCGGTACGCCTACAATATCGGATAGTTGCTGCAATATGCCCGTGGCTCCATCACGTGCCGAATCCACAATACGTTCCAACTCTTCCCGAAAGAGTTTCGAACTCATTATAGCTTCAACACGTTTACGTCTTTCCATCTCGCGCATATCCTATAGGTATTGCAGTAGTTAATAGAAAATGACTTGAAATGTTAACTTCGCAGATATAAAATCAATAATCATACCTGTTCGATATCTGCTGGACGAGCTTTACTGCTATCATCATCCTCGGCCGCTGACAAATCAATGCCGTTCTGTGGTGGTTGCTCGACTTCAGTCATACTTTTCTTAAGTATTTTTTTTCTTTTTTTTTTGTTTTGGTTTTTTTTTTTTTGTTTTTTCTTTTTCCTTTTAATTTTTGTCAATATATTAGAGCTCCTTCGTTTTTTGTCGTTTGTGTTACTTTTGCTTTTCAATTAATTAAAATGAATTATGCGGGGAAATTTAGAGATTACTTTGTTGACAAAAATTTTTCTAAAAAAGAAAAAAAAAAAGAGGAAAAAAAATAATGCTGATATATATAAAATTTTGACTTTGTTGTGTTTTACATTTTTTTGTTTTGTTTTTAAATAGTTTCATAAAAATGCATTTATTCTTATTTATGCAAATTTGCATTTGCATACATACAAAATGTTTGCATTAAAAATGGGATAAATTTTCATATCTATCGTTTACACACCCTGTTATCCTAAACCGAAAGTTAGCTGGCGTCTATTTGAAAAGCAATGTCGTCATAATTGTTGCGATAACTCTTCTTGACTCTCATGCATTTATTGCGCGTATATAAAGCAAGGCGCAAGTCTTTGCATAAACAAACATAACGAGAACGAACAGGAGAAACCGAAGCATATCGTAGAAGAGAGCGAGAGAGAAAATTGAAATCATCTGATAGCAGAATATAGAAATTGTCGATGAAGGGAGGGTCACATATATTGGGCAACTGTTACTTATGTAGCCAACATAAAAAAATGATGACCTCAACATGTTTTACTTTTGAATTGACAGAAAATTAAATGGCATAATAGAGAGGAGGAAAGGGTGAGAGGCAAAAAAAAGAAGAAAGGAACATTCAAATTAAATTAAGATTTTCGCAAGTAAGTATTGGTTTACAAATTTTTTATTCCATTTTTGCAAAGACATCTGATAAATGGATAGACATTGATAACAAGTAAACAAACTGTGGATTATTTATTAACAACATATAAATGATTTATAAGAAATATGGTAATAAGTGACCTGGTATTTCAATATTGCTAGTTGTGGTTACCCCTTTACTACAGAATATTGAAAGCATTTTCATCTCAGATGGCCTTAGTAAACGTTCGGTATAACCTACGGACTGGTATCCATTAATAAAGGTTCGTCATGGATGGATGGACAGACAACATGAAAAACTTTCGTAGGATAGATAAGTTTTTCTCTTTCGAGATATCTTTTCCACTCCCTATGGATGACTTTTTAGTGACTCAGCCCATTGTTATAAACGTTTTTTGCATATCTTATGGGATCCCTGATGTTGGCGATGAGCCGAATTAAATAATAGGTGTCGTGTCGTTTGGAAACCCTATTGGGAGCTACCACTAATATTTTTATGCTGGTCGTCTATTTTGGAGAAAAAACTCCACGATATCGGCTTAAAAAGGTGACATAAAACGCTACAAAGAAGTTCCTCGAAGTCTCAATATGAGATATATATATGTTATATATATTATATATATATAACACGTACATATATACACGCTTAGCCTCAAATTTTCCATATCAATTTTTCTTCACGAGTAATAAAACCATTTTAGTAGACGGCTGGACCGACATTGCATTTTTACACGACTTTTGATAGTTTTAAAGCAGATACCTTAGATGTCTTCCTCTTCTTATTTGTGACCCGAACCTCTTAGCTCTTTAAAGAAACCAATGAATATTTTTAGTTCATTTTAGTTTATAACGTGAAGCGACTAGACACTTAAGAAGCAAGAGAAAGGCAACAGTGTTGTATTGCCGCACATGTATAAATGTGTGCAATTAAATTTTTTTCGAGAAGATTGCAATGCAAAAACAAAAAGTACAAACATTTTGGTGTGTCATTAAAATGGCAACAACCGCACATTCATGTTTAAATTTTCAAAGTCAAAATGTTTGTTAAACTTAGAGAAGAAAAAAAGTGTTTTTGACACAAATATTTTTTTGAAATTTTCAAAGTCGAAACATTTGGGCGGGAGAAAGATGCTTACTCTCAAAATAAATCAAATTAAATTGCGATGCGAAGAGAGTTTGTGAAAATCGAATTTTACAAAATATGTCTCTCTTATTAATTAATTAATAATGAATTAGTCGTTAGAAATAAAATTTTATATTAAATTAACGGAAGCATTTTTGGCATTGTATCCTATATGAGTTAGGATATTTAAGTGGGCAAATATCACACGTGGTAGCGGTAGATTGTTAAGAAAACAAGAAGAACAACAACAACAATTTTCAAATATCTTTTCGATTATTTTATTGAAATGTGTGGATAATATGAAATTTAGAGGAACTTAAAAGCTTAACTCTGCTTAATTCGCCTTACAATATAAAAAATGTGAAGAAGGATTGGTGTGTTGAGCAAGACAGACACACCGCGATAGTAGCTGAAAATCAGAGCCACATTGGCTCGTTTCAAATGCCACAATTTTAATTGTAGTAAATCGGGCCTCAATAGACCCCCCCAGACTATTTGCCTTTCAATAGGCGAAATTTATTTATCACTGATAGATAGATAAATGCGTAGCTTAGCAACGACAATGTTTTCGGAAAAGTTATGTATACGCTTCAAGCGAAGTAGAAACGAATGATTAAAGGAAATATGCGACTTATATATAGACGTAAAGTACTTCGCGAAGGAATATGTCATGGTGATGTTGAGACTAAAGGATTTAATATTGAGTCTGGAAAATTACAAAACACGCTGGCGCAAGTTGGCAGTGTATGATACCACTTCCTGGTTCGCCAAGAAAAATAAAGACTACATAATATATAAAGAATAGATATATATCTACCTGATTTGATTCAAAAGCAACGGCGATCGAGTTTTGAATTTATTACCTGGGTGCTGTGTTCCCTTCTCTTATAAAAAATATCGCATAAGGAGATTTCTTGAAACGCCACTAATATAGTCACAATTTCACTAGAGAAAATTCTATTTTTTTATCCACCACTGAAGAAAGGGGTATATACTTATTTTGTCATAATGTTTACACTATATACGTTTCGTGATCACCGTGAAATTCTGAGTTGATTAATCGAGACGGTCTCTCTGCTGGTCTCAGAATTGAAAACATACACTTAAAATTTCATAGAAATATTGCAAGTACTTGCACGCAGGTTGGTATTGAAAATGGCTCAAATTGGTCAGAGCACAAGCCCACAGTGGTACGAAAACTGAAGGCAACTCAGTATTTCTAAACAAAAATATGTCGTTTTTTTGCTCACTTATTCACAAATTATGGAAAAAAAAAGTTCCGCATTTACTTGGCGGGAACTCTGCAAAAATGAAAAAATCGGTCACGCCCACATAAAGTTATAATAAAATTAAATTTTCTTTTTTTCCCCCTTTTAAGGTTTTATATTTCATTAGTAAAAATAATAATTGGTAATCGGTTTGTATCCTACTCAAAATGGATATATCATCTGCCCATAGATGCGTTAATTCTAAAATAAATACGGTGGACACCACGACCGGATGAATTAATTTTTTCCTAACAATACCAGCGATGTGGGTATCAAATTAATGGACTCGGAGAGTAGAAGGCGGCAAAGTAAATTTGTTAATTCTAAATTAATTAGGACATATATCACGATATGGTGGATAAGTTTTTTTTTTTAAATACCGTCCACATAAATATCAATTAAAAGGACTTGGAGAATCGAATGCGAAAAGATATCCCATTTACTTGTTGTTAACAATAACTAAAAGCACGAGGTGCCATTTATTATAATGGTGCTGGATATGAGATGTTCGGTCCTCCCCCGAATATAACTTTCTTACTTGTACCTAATATATATATATAAATAAATATGTAAATATAAATATTTTCATATCTTACACCACATTTGGCACATTAAGCATATAATTAGTATATTAAGCTTGTGCTCATGTATGCAATATTCAGAAAAATTTGAGATATATTGAAATTTCCTTAAACCGATCTAAGCCTGTCTTGTCTGTTCGTCTTTTTTTCTTGCGCTCAATCTATAAGTCGCAAATTTTCGAGACAGTATGATCAAATTTGGTACATTGGCGTGTCTTGGACCAAAGACGATCGCTATAGCAATTTTTTCGATCGCTTTTCATATAAAACCTTATATTGAAAAGTCGTTACATGAATAACCGTAGGATAGGATAGGGTATCTAATTGTGGGCCGTGCCTCGATATAGTGTTTTATACTTATGCAAACTGTGAACTGAACAATCTGAAGAAGCGGAGGGAGGACCTATAATAGAATAAATTGAACGTTAGATAAACAATTTTGAGAAAAAGTCACGTATATCTAAAGCTCTTTAATAATTTTACGATTACAACGACTATACCATTGTTATAGGAGTGAACTTTTAATGATAATTCAGAAAAAGAAAAAAAAAAAAAAATTCTATTGAAAAGTCATTGATAAGATAATGACACTCAGAGTAGTTCTTAACTATCTTAATATTATGTTTGTTCATAGAGCATATAGAGCTGTTTTTATTTGTTTGGTAATTTTTCTAATTTGTATTAAGAAAACTGGAGATTGAGATCAGGGACATTTTCATTTGCATTGATATATTTGTGTTTAGTAAAGGCAAACATTACATTACGTAGACACACCACTTATTACGCGAATCAATGCGTATAATAAATGGCAAACAGAAAATGCAAATGTAATTGATATATTCGGCGGCGGTATTAGACTACTCAGAGAGAAAGAAAAGCGCTTTTTGGTTATTGAAAAAAAAAAAAAATAAAAATAAATAAATAAATAAATTAAAAAAAAAATAAAAAAATGATTTACATAAAAAAAACGAATGAAGATGACAGTAATATATAAATGAAAATTTGTGTATCAATTGTCTGCGCATTAGAATGCCTATTAAGAAAATAGAAAAAAGGAAAGAAATAAAAAAAAAGACCCGCCTATGGAGATAACAAAAAATGCTGAAAAGCTGAAAATTGAATGAAAGCAAGAAATTCATTTTAATCTGTTTTATCTGCGACTAATTGGATTTTCTTTCTATTCGTTGGTTGTCTTTCAGGGTTTATTGACCTATGAATATGTGTTGGTAGTTCGTGTATTAAATAAAAAAAAAAAACAAAACAAAACAAAAAAATAAAATAAAATAACACTACAATTACGCACCATAGGCACAGAAAATATTAACTATTTTACAATACCGTCATCATTAGCTTTTTCCATGCTTTCCTCGCTTTTCGACTTGAGTCGAGCATTTTACTAAAC